CCTGCCGACCAATACCCAGCCAGTTCCCGAGCAGCGATTGCGGCTCCCCAGCCAACCCCCGCCCAGTTTCTACACTGAGCATGACATCATATGGTATGAAATAGCCCTTTGGTCAGTTTGGATCAGCTGTTCTGGCTGTGCCCCCTCCCAGTTTCTTGTGCACCTGGCAGAGCATGGGAAGCTGAAAAGTCCTTGACTAGCATAAGCAGTACTTAGCAACAACTAAAACATCAGCGTGTTATCAACATTCTTCTCCTACTACATCCAAAACACAGCACTATGCCTGCTACTAGGAAGAAAATTAACTCTACTGCAGCCAAAACCAGGACACTTGTATTATAATCACCTCTTTTTGGTCCTTCTGGACAGGGATGTTATTTTCCATGAAAAAATTATACGGCTTCCAGACATAGCCAATGATTCACCTCTGGGTAAACCAGTCACAATCTTACACATGTTCCCTGGGAAGGGATCTAGCATTCTGAATCTGGGATCTAGCATTCTGAATCTATCTTTTCTTCACATTTCAGGGACTTACAACTCGGACAGAAATAGGACAGAAATGGGACTTCCACTGGCATTTCCAGTAACTCTTAAAAATCATACTACTTGGAAGTGCTTCCTCACTTGAAACCCAGACTGAACAGACTCCACTGCTTCTGCAGGACAGAAAGCCAGATCTGTACTCCTCCACGACCTTACCAGATTGCTACAGATCCAGGTGCCAGGAGACTAACTAAACATGGGAATTGGAAAATTTAGGTCCCATGGCCCCTTGAAGGACTGGGGCTAACTGCACAGAGCCAGATAATTTCTCTTGCAGATTCTCTTCCCTGTGGAAGCCCGTTCCAGATGTGATTCCTAACTGAGTGTATTCTTATTTTTCTGCTTTTCAATTGATGGACATTGTGGAATCTGGAAGATCAATTCTTTCCGTAGGGTTGATGTTATCTTTGGCATCTGCTTCCATCCATTTAACACTCTTCTTCCCACTTCATTGTTCACTTCTGTCAGGATGGTTATGAGATCCTTGCGCCTTTAACAAAAATGAAGAAAAGTTACATTGAAACACATGGTACTTGCAGCTAGGCCAAGAAGCTGATCTATGTTTGCTCCAATAAAGTGGTATCTCAAGGTAGGGTAGTATCTTCCCCTCATCCCGTCTGTCACTGAAATTGCACACTCCATTGTGTAACCACAGAATTCAGTGTGTTTGAGGGAATAAAAGCAACCTCCGTGTAACATTGCTTTACCAGCAAATGCAGTCCCCTACTTCGGTTATTGTCAGAAGAGCACGCTAAGATGAAACAGAACCAAACCTGTGCATTCTCCAAGCCCTCTTCTGGACACCATGAGAAAGTGATGTCTGAAGAGAATTCTGTTTTCTGTATCAAGTTTATGATGGGGATGGGAAGGAGGCAACAATGAAAATTATGACTAAAGAACACTGATTTGTCTGTGTAATCACTCAAAAAATTCACCTCTCATCAGGTGTCACTGGAAAAAAAATCATTTATCAGTCAAAAAATTTTAAAAAACATGCACACACATACACACACTTGTTCATATGTAATGTTCCAGCATTACAACTCTGGTTCTGTCACAGGCAAACTAGGGGAAGTCACTTGTACTTTGGTTCATTTGTAGAAGAACGACAATACCAAATTCCAGAATAATTACTGTTCTGCACTGTCCTGCAGGTGAAAAGCATTATACAGCACAAAGGCAAAACACTGATGTTTCAGCACAGCGTGTTTAAGTATGTATGTCTGCAATACGCCACATGTACATGGATTAAAAATAGTACTTACAATGGGCAAAGCAACTCCATCTTGTCACAGAGGCATTGAATGTAAACACTGCCAGTCTCTTCACAGCGGTAGCTCTCAAAGCCTTCCACCGTAGCCATGCCAATCAGAATATCAGCCTGATCAGGAATGGAAGTCAGAGGGGTAGCATCTGTCTCAAGATGGCCAGAAAAGTCTTCTTTTACTGTGACAGCTGGATGAACTCCAGAGCCTTGGCAAGCCTGGATGAAAAACAGCTTGGGTTTGCCAGCAAGAGAAGGACAATTAGATCCGGTGAAGCAGGAGACTAAATCCTTAATATTTACAAACTCATGATCAATGCCTTTTATTTTGTCTTTGTCACCATGGGAAAAAATGAAGCAAACAAAACAGTCCATGTTACTATGATCTTTTTTGCTGTATTCTTTAACTTTCGCATACATTTGCTTTGCTTCTAGATCCATGTGCTCAACTGTCTCAAACTGAAGCCACTTAAAGACCCTCTTCACAGCCTCTGGGAAAAAAAGTCAGAAGGCACTTGTTAAACATAAACAGTGACAAGGAAGATGCTGAAACATCAGTGCCTGTGTGGTAGAACAGATATTAGCAGAAGTGTTCAGATCCCATTAATAAACTCACCTGACTGACTCTTAGCCTGCCAAATCTAATTGGGAAAACCCAAATGCCTAATTTTATTTTTTTAAACACAACTGGGTTAAGCATCATGCTATCTAAAACAAAAACAGGTTTCAGATTATCTGATTAATCAGTACAAATTAGTGAAGCTTCCTAAATTAGTAAACCAAGCTTTAACTGTGCATTGCATAGTAATCTCAGATGCTTAAGAACAACACTTAGTGAGTTAAAGAAGAGGTACCTCTTTAGAATGACAAATTCTGCCACTCTTAAATGAAGTAGGTCCCTCATTCTGTGAGAATGATCAATGCAGCAAGAAGGAAGGCAGGGTAATCCATTAACAAACGCTAAGCAGACTTCTCAGCAAATATTGACTTTGTTGTGTGGGTGGTGAGAAAGTAGCTGGGAAGCAAGCAGCCTGTAGATAGGCTGGATGGAGTTAAAATATCAGTGATGTGTGCTTTCATGAAACAGATTTTACTTTTTTAAGATAAACTCTTGTTTATCTTAAAAGTGACTCTTGCAGGAAGACAGGCTTTAAGGAAAATTATAAAGCAGTAGCATTTATTTGAGCATTAAACAGAATTTAAGGACTTAAAAATATTACTTTATGATAGCTAAGAATTAAACAATCAAAAAGTGAAAAGGTGGAATGGTAATCCCTCCTTCACTATTTGGTACATAGGACCAATTAAGACTATGCTTTTTACCTAGAACAGAAAGAGGTTCCTTCTTTAAGCCATCAGCTAAACTGTTGGAAGTGACATATTTCCAATTTCTACAGTGACTATCATTCCAGTTACTCTGGAGGCAAAGGAGCTCAGTGGACACGATTCTTCTTCACAGGAAAGATTAGATAATTCTTTCAGAGAATTATCAGAGAAAAAACCAAACCAATAATTGGATTAAAGAAGTACTTACCTCCATCTTTCACTGTTCCTTCTCTGGTTTCATGCAGATTTTTAAAAATGTAGTTGTTAAGAATCACACAGTAACCATGGGGGTTATTTTTCATCTTATATGATTCCACAACCTGTAGAAACAAAGCAAGCAGGTAAGAAAGCAGTGCCAAGCATCCAAAAGAGAAATATGCTATACACAGATTGTCAGTCCTTCATGTCCAAGTGCAACAGAATCATGAGGGCCAAGATACAAGAAAGGAAAAGCCTAAGAATACAAGCCAGCTACAGGGGAGAGGACTCTGCTTTGTCTCCCTGAATCCCTTCTCCTCTCTCTCTCTGTGGTTAGGATATGATTTTGGCATGGGAGAAAGTAAGTATCCAGAAACAAAAATTTGCATGTGCAGAGGAAAGGTTCCTGCACCCTACCATTCCCTCTGAGAGTCCTTGTGGGTTTCTAGTAAGGTAGCAGATTCTGTTGTTCCCTTCCCACCTGTCCAGGAGTATTCTGGCCAGGACTTTAATGTCCCAGTGTCCATTATCATTAAGATTGGATTTTGTCACACAACAGCTACTCCTTCATTTCTTGCCTAAAAGGTTGCTGACAACCAGGTCCTCACAAATATATACATATATACATTTGGCCTACATATAAAGCCAGAACCCCTCCCTTTCAGCTCTTCCACCTGCTTAGTCTTAAGAATTTATACGCCACCCTCCCAGGAGTTGTATAAATACTTTAAAGGTAATTTTGAGGTATTTCTCACATGTGGTGTCTCCCTCTCTGCTCCTTGTCCTGGATGCACAGACACAGACACTGGATAGTGGAGTTTTTCTGTAGAATCATTTTATGAGAGAGAGAAGATAAACAGAATGTTTTAGGACTAAAAAGATAAATCTTCCACCGTGCATATTTCAACACTCAAAAACAGTGCAAGGAGTGAGGTGGAGGGTGACTTCCACATCACTGAGACACCATCATTTTGTAGAGCTGGGCCGAGTAGGGTTCCAGTTTCACAGGTTGCTGGTTAGTGAAGCTGTGCAGAGCTGTCATCCATTTCTTCTCTGGTCTTTTACTGCTAGCAACATCCAGATAATAAAAGGCGGAAGAGCAGTCACCCCAGGCAAGCCATTCACTAACATCTCCACTATGGGATACATAAATGAAAGAGGAGACCCCATTTTTGTAAAGTGGTACACTACAGATAGTTCATTTATTTCTGAGGCCATTGTCTCTTCTCCAGAGAACTTTACTGTTTGGGTGGACACACCAACGATGCAGAATACCAGCATAATGGAAGATCTCCTCAAAGCAACAAAACACTTATTTGAATACAACTGCCTGAAATAAGTGAAGAAATCATCAAACCCATGACTCTACCCAAGGAAATAAATCACAGTACCCCTTTTACAAGTTACACAGATGTGTTTAAATGGAATTTAATTGTCAGGCCAACAAGCTATAAGACATGCTCTTTTTCTCCTTACCAAGGGGACAAAATAATAACAGTACTACTAAAAAGCCATTCCCCTGACGCAGGGCTTGCTTACACTAGCCACCCTTGGCATTTTTCTTCTGCTCTTTTAGAGACACAAGCACAGGTCAGCAGCACAAAGACATGCTTGGGAAACTAGTTGATATCTCTGCAGGGAACTGCATGGACCGTATAGATGTGTCTAAGGAAACACACATCCTGAGGCATCCAGGAGGTGGTTCTGGGGAAAAAATTAATAGGTCTCTGTTGTTGTTTGTTGACACATCCTGTTTCCCAAAGAGTAAGACCCAGCTGTGGTGTCACAAGTCACCACTTCAGCTGCAACAGCCCAGATTATACTGAAGTCCTTGAAATTTCACATCTGGTAGAGAAAGCTAATGGTTACACTTTAGCCAAGTATGTGGTCTCCAGGGACTTTTCTTTTGACTAAGAGCAAACAGCCTGGCTAACAGAAAATAATGCTGACTATCTCCCAATACAAGTTTCCCCAAGGCAACTGTCACCTCCAGTCTCTTTCAGTGACTGAAAAGCCATCCTGGTCCAAAACCAGCACTGCATTGTTTCCTGAAGAGAAAAATTGCATTTAAGGTAAAAAGGAGGGAGAAGCAGACCATTTATGAGGCACAGAATGTATTTAAAGGAGAGATATAAGAAGCTATGATGGGATAATGAAGTAGCAGAAAACTTCAGAAACCACAGGTACCAACAGCCACTCTGCCTATCCTAGGATGCTGTAAGGTCTCTCTCTTATCTCTGGACTCCTAAGCTGCCAAGGATGGAGCCACAAAAATCACAAAAAAAACAGCTCTACTCGTAAACAGACGATTAAATAATTTACCTTTTTTTTTTTCTTCATAGGTATAAATTTTTTTATTTACGTCATCTCTAAATCCCTTTAATATATCTTTCAGCATTGCCAGGTCATCTTCTTTAATTATCCCATTTCTTTCCATTTCCAGTGAGACCTTCAACATTGACTGGTAAAACAAAAACACATAACCCAAACTCATACAGTGACCTTCAATAACTGCAGTATCAGGCACTTCTGGACAAACCAGAAGACAACATCCTCATTCCCAGAGACTGACCAGCTAAAGACCAATTTCTGTTTCCTCCAAACCTCGTTAAAACAAGGGTCAGGATGCAATGCAACTGAAGAAACACATCACTAAGGTTAAGACAGGATTATTAGAAATTGCCTATGGCTAGGTTATTCTGCTTTGTTTCAGCAGTGCAAAGCACCGATGTGGATAACAACATGGCATCCTGTTGTGCCTCTGTGTTCAACTGAAGTGCTGTTAAGTCATTTAGCTGCGCCATTTTACATTTTCTACTACAGAAAAGGTGTTCAGGGCTAATTTTGGTTTTTAAAGCTCAACGGTCCACCAAATCGGAGGTAAATTGCTAATTTTCCTATAGGTGCCACAATGCAAATAGGACTTCTAAGGAAGCTTCTTAATAATACCAAGCATTTTTATAACACTGTTCATTATTTACAATACAAGTCTTAAACTAGCTCATCAAAGCTTTTAATACTTTTGTTGGGGAGTTAACAAAATGCTGTTACCCCAAATTACAATAAAGAAGAAAATGTACCCAATGACACACAAAAATTTGTGGTTGAAGTCACATTAGAACTCGTTTTTCTGTCTCCAAAACATTGTTTTTCCTCCAGCAAACATCACTCTTCCCAGATACAGCATATGTACAAATGTCTTTGTAAGTGCCAAGCAAAGACGAAAGGAAGAGCATGATGGATTTTTCACGAAGAAAAGATTAGGAAGACAGGTGGTAGAGGGAAAATAGCAACAGGAGAACAAAAAAGGGCAGAGAAAAGATACAATGAGAAAAAAAAAAAGGTCCATTCTTTCACACAGCAGCCATTAGCTAACATCACAATTCTTTCAACAACAGATTTTAGTGAGAGCAGACTGCTTTCTCTTTCCTCCCTTCTTACAAGAACTAGCAGGCTCTGAACTAGCCTTGCAAGAAACTTATCAAGATCACTTTGCATACAGCATTATCCTGGAGCTTCTTCCTTGGTATGTGTTTTTGGAGCAGGAACTTCACTCTCTTGACATCTTCTTGAGTCAAGTCCTCTGCAATTTCATATAGCAGTTGCCTGACAATAAAGAACAGGGAAAGACTGATTAAGAAAGTTATGAGAAGTAAACACCAAAATTAGACGTCTGAACTGCAAAATGCAGAAGTCACAATGGCAGGTAGTCATGCTATAAAAAATACAGTTATGCTGGGATACTCATAAGACAACAGTGCAGACAGAAAACAAGACAGTACACAACAGAATTGTTGTATATTTTGCATGCAAAGGTTTACTACTTCTGGGCTTACCTGTAGGCTGACACCTTCGCCCTGCCGGGGATCTGAAGCTCTCTCTCCATCTCCTCTCGGCTGGAGCCCAGCTGGGCAACCAGGAGGTCGATCCGACCGATCCGGTACAGCAGCTCCTTCACGAAGGACAGGTTCCCCGCCTCGATCATGCCTTTCTCCTGCAGCACTTCAAAGAAGTCCTGTGCCCTCTGGATGGCTTCCAGCTTCCTCATGGGGACATGATCCAGGCTGAGGAACTTCAGAGCTGCCAGTTCATCTGTGATCAAAGCCTCAGAAATGTCAGAAAGGAGTTTCTGGACGTCTGCACTCATTTCACATCAGGATTTGGATCTAAACACAAACAGAAGTTGATTTTATTTGTCAGTAACAGTAGTGCAACAACATGATTATAAAAGGTATCACATCATGTACAATAGCCCAAAATAAATACATGCTGTCATGATCCATACTGGGCTGCCCAGGGAGGATTGTGGCAGTTCTGTGATTCCCTTGGGCTAAATTAAGGTGAAATGACACCAAACGATCCATTAAACACTTAATTAATGGTAAAAAACAACCTAAACTTGGCAAGTGTAATGGTAGGCAACCTGAACTAGGGAAGTGTAACAGTAGGCAATGTGGGTTCTAATTGGAATACTTCTAAGAGGAAAGGAAAAAGAAGAAAATGGCTGGCGGGGGGGAGATCACCACCCTTGGACTGCATGGCGTCGAGGATAAACGTGGCAATCCTCCGGTGGTGGGCACGCTGCTCTTGGAGCGCAGGGCCTTTGGCTGCACCAGCAGCACCGGCGCCAGCTGGGAGGGGCAGGTCTGCAGCAGCAGCAACCTGGAGTCTCGAAGTTGCCTTTTACAGGCTAGTCCCCGCCTCTGGTCTCCACCCCTTGAGGACTTGTTCCAGAATGCTCTTCCCCTTTTTTGCAGGCGCCATTGCAGAGTGCGCCTAGACAGTGGGAAGTACCAGTGTACAGGATGTACAGGATGTACAATGCTGGCAGGCTGCTGCTGTTCTGGTTTTGTTTTGCAGGACTGTTTTGAGGCTTGATCCCATTTGGGAGCAAGAGCCACTTGCCAGTCTGAAATACAGACTATGTAGTAAATCAGACTGCCAGGTTTTACACCATAACAAAGATAAAGGTTTTATACCACAACAAAGATAAGAGTCCACATGAATATAACTATTCTGTTGTGGACTTCCCCCTGCCTCCCCCCCCCCCCCCCCCCCCCCCCCCCCCCCCCCCCCCCCGCCCCGCCCCGGTGGGATGGGGGAGACAATCAGAAGAGTAAAAGTAAAAAGCTCGTGGGTTGAGATAGACAGTTTATTAGGTAAAGCAAAAGCCGCACACACAAGCAAAGCAAACCAAGGAATTCATTCACTACTTCCCATCAGCAGGCAGATGTTCAGCCACCTCCAGGAAAGCAGGGCTCCATCACATGTAACAGTTACTTGGGAAGACAAAACACCATCACTCCAAACGTCCCCCTCTTCCCTTCTTCTTCCCCCAGCTTTATATGCTGAGCATGATGTCATACGGTATGGAATATCCCTTTGGTCAGTTGGGGTCAGCTGTCATGGCTGCGTCCCCTCCCAGCTTCTTGTGCACCCCCAGCCTGCTCGCTGGTGGGGTGGGGTGAGGAGCAGAAAAGGCTTTGACTCTGTGTAAGCACTGCTCAGCAGTAACAAAAACCTCCCTGTGTTATCAACACTGTTCAGCACAAATCCAAAACACAGCCCCATACTAGTTACTATGAAGAAAATTAACTCTATCCCGGCCAAAACCAGCACATCTTCTAAGCTATTTGGCTTCTCCTTTCTTTATACACTGCTTCTGACCCTGGTCAGCATAGCCAAAGCATCTCTTCCTGTTTTGGATTATCTGCATCAAGTAAAACTCAGTTCCCAGCTCTCAATCAATTTGTAATATTCAAATCAAATACAGATCATGTCAACCCCTTTAAACAGGCCAGGAGAATTCTTGTCAAACTAGTTCTGTTTCACTGAGCATCAAATACCACCTCCCTCCTCCACGACTTCCTCCATCAGCTTTGGAAATACTAAACTTGGCTTATGGATCCAACTTTTAAGCACAAGAGAAAGTTAGAAAAAAACAAGTGCAAGCTTTCCAACTATCTCACCCTGACACTTAAAAGACCTGCCTCCACTGCCTCTCTGGTAAGAGAACATTTGCCACTTTATTCTTGCTGCCTTAGATCTAAGACACCTAGGAAACTCTGAAGAGCAACTTTATAGAAATACATTCAGTAGAGGTCTCTTGTCCCATTGAACTTACTGGGAGACAAGAAAAGTTGACAACAGCAAATCAAAACTTCCTATTCCTACACTATTGGAATATTAGGCAATCCATTTTAATGTTACTGCTACTGCAAATGTTTCAATACCAGGGCTAATAACTCCAAGGTAGCCCAGCTGACTAACTGAATCAGTGCTATTGTAAATATCCAAAAAAAAAAAAAAAAAAAAAAAAGCAGACAATTTAGCTCCCCTCTCCTCCAAGGACCACTCTACAGCAAAGCAGCTTTTTGTGGCACACCCTTGGTCAGCATCCTGTTAGTTAGCAAGAGTGAACATATAACTGAATCTTAAACTTTTGTCTATAAAAAACCTGATAAAACAGCAAAACATACATTATGATGCAGCATATATGACTCACTCTGTGCCCTCAAATACTGTTTTCTTTAAATCCATTCAAACTGAACTTTTAAACAGACTAGAATCCATACCATTCAGCCCGTATCACCACAAAACCACTAGTATCTGAATAAATCATATATGCGTAACCTCACGATGCAATGATCTGAGATTTGATGGTATATTTTCGTAGCCACACAGGAAAGGAAGAACACGTTCTTGGTAGCTAGTTATGAGGTTATCTTCTTTCTCACATAAATCATGCCTTTTGCTTAAGATACAAGGCATGTGCTTATAAAAGTAAATCTATCTGGTAAAGGAAATTTTAATTTTTATTTCTCAAAGGCTGTAAGTTTCAAACCCACAAAATTATTGCAATTAGAACAGATCTGCCACCTACACACTGTATTTAAGCCTGTCTGTAAATACAGGGAGCACACTAAAACAATGTTTAACTGCTTTTCTCCCACTTTACTAAATTAACGACACAACTGATACAACAAGCAAACTGTTTAATAAGAACAATAATAATAATAATAATTAT